AAAGAACGGCCAGATAAACTTGAATTCTAGAGCCTCCAAAACGTTTCCTCATATATTCCGGTAGAGTGCTAACCTAGACGAAAAACGGAAAATAACTGGAATAAATTAAGAAACTCGTTTTAAGTGAATTTCTAAATAATATAAAAAGGACAAATTAGCCTAGAGTGATTAGTACTTGCTACCCTAAATGATTGTTTTACCACCATATCCTATTACAACAAAAGAACCAGCCATGCTCTTGAAAGGGACCTAGGAAGTGGAACAACATCAACCATAAGAAGTTGAAAGAGGGTTAACAGATAAAATAAAAAATACTCCTTCCGTCTAAGCTCTTCAAAAACTTTTTCTATAACACTTTGTCGGTTGATTCAAAGAATTCGACTCTTTAAACCACTCCATGAATTCTATCAAATTACCGACAAAAAATTAACGAAGCTCGGTCTTTAAAGTTTAGCGTATCCGGAGTATACTAAAAGTGAAAAGTAAGACAAGCTAGATGGCATTTAGGTATAAAAGTGCTTAAAATTTCATGCTACTCTCAAAGGATGAAGGAAACAATGTAACTTGAATAGACTTATTCCGATGATACTTTTAAAAGAAAAATAATACAAGAGAGGTAAAGTGAATAAGTAGAAGCCTATTATCGCAACAATTATAGTCACATTACTATTTTGACTGATTAACATTAAATTATTAAATCACTTTAAAATATCAATAAGCCAAGAGACTACATAAAATATTACCCAACTGCTCCTCAATAGAATTAATCGATTTTGCATAAAAGTCGTAAATAAAGATTATATAAATGCATGCAATTGATGGTGTAAAATGGAGAACAAAATTGTTTCCAAGATAAGTTCAAATTAAGATGATGCATGTTATACTATATAAAAAAGACTAAACAAACAGACATCTTTGGTGTATATTATAAAAGCATCGGGAATTGTAAACCTTGTGTTTAAATCCGATGATCTGTTTTGATGAAGAGTAATTTCATCTCAGAGTAGCTTAATCTTTTTAAATAATAACCACGTAAAGAATTCTTTTAAGCCAAAATGGCAAGCATTCTCGTGCCATCATCTATGAGAGCATAAGAATGGCGATCAGTGGAATAACAAGTATTTTAGTGAGAAGGAGTTTTGGGTGGAAACTCAATGTGTCTGAGATTGTCATTTTAAGTTTGCATTAGGCTGATTTAACACTATAATTTGATGCACTGGACATCCGAGAAAAACCTGTAAAAATTAGGTTGTATTGAGGAGCCATAAGGAGATTATTTTCAATCATCGCAGTAGTTATGAAAGTATGCAGATAACTCAAATAAACGCTACACAGAAAAAATCTTGTCTCAAAAAGAACAAATTCTAGAAGGTCAAAATGCAAATTTTCAAGTTAGGCTGTTGAATAATCGAGGAAAACTCTCATTTAAAATAAGCCCTTATAAATACTACAAAAGTTAACTTTCTTTAATCAAATTTCATGACTTATTAGGTAAATTTAATATTAGCATCATCAAAGCTAAAGTAAGGGGCGTACGAATTCATGGACTTCTAAAAGCCTCAATTTAGCACAAACCAAGAAAACTCCCAAGCGAACAATTAAAGAGACACATTACTGGTTTTCTCAGAATATTACTTTAGCAAGCACTCCAATTTTCAAGTCAAATGATTAATTTATGAGATATTTTTCGAGATTTCGACACTTTAGCTTAAACGCTTTAATGTTACTTGGCCTCTCATTATAAGAAATGTTGGCAATAAGATTATTACGAAGATAATTACATTAACACACAATAATTAGGTAGTAAAGGTGAAATGATATTACCATCCCTGTGCTATCGGGAATTCCGTGTAAGCATCAATTCAGGTTAATATCACATTGATAAGAAGAGACCTTCATAAGAACATTTAGAATTTATCCCTATAACCCGGCCTAAAAATGTGTAATCTAAGTAAAACCAATTTAATGAAACTAAGTAATAATACTTTCACTTATAGTCTACTTTTTGTAGGGTTGACATTGAATTTACAAGCATATCTAACATTATTATCATCAAAAACAATTTGATGATAACTGCGTCACAATTGTGGAAGCATAATTTAAGGTTACTAAATTATGAGCTTATTAAAGAGATTAGAATGCGCAAAATAATCTAGAGGCAATCAGAAATTTTTTAAGTAGTATCGACCTGCATCGATCTACAGTATAATAAGAAAGCAGAGATACATTTTGAGGCTATTTTAGTGACAATTTAGGCAGAATAGAAAGGTACCCATAGTTGAATGACTTAGAAAGTATTAATAGTAACATTTGCAGGAAAATTTGAGGATATCGTATAGAAATTTAATGTAGCCTATATTTATTGACTAGTCCCGTAAGGACTGTTCATTGAGATTAAATTGCAAGGATAAAATTAAAAAACCAGACAGGAAATAATTAAATAAAAATTTTATAAAACATTGAATAATTAAATGAAGCAGTTATCAGGGACTAAAGTAGGCGTTTGTATTTAAGTTGTAAATTAGCGATTTAAAAAAATAAAATCAAAGGTATAGTACGTGCATTAGATTAGTATAAGATACGATTGGTTAGAAAAAATCCCCAATTGAATCGAGCTTCTAAGGAATAAATACTGCTGCGTATTATAACGATGATGATAACTAAAGGTCAAGGATAATTTTAAACGAGACAAAAGATGTCTAAAAAAACTGAATCTATCATTTTTTTAATATGCAAAAGCATATTCGACGGATTGGAGTCAAAATACAGGAATTTGTACTCCCACGAAAGGAAGTAGAAAATAGTGACTATAGTTCGAAAATATGCATATTTATTTCTGACTAAGGAAAAAAATAGGCATTGTCAGTAAACAAGAAGCTGGAATCAAAGGGAGATTTTTCTGTTAAAACTAAATGACTTTCAAATCAGACTCCTGTTTCTATGTAAAAATAGGAATCAAGAGTCTTAAAAGCCTTGCGTGCATGTCAGTTAGTTAAGATTACAACACTTTACCACCTATTGTGGGTAAATTAAAAATCAGGAAAAAATGAGGCCTCCCAACTAAAGTTGTAGAATATTATTTAAGTTCATTTTATCGGTCACTTTATAATATAAAACTGAACAAGTAAATTTAAATACTGAGCAAAGTAGCATAATAATGCATGCCTAACTAAATAGGATATGACAGTTGACTAATAAACCAAAAGTCCTAAAAAGTCTTCTGATTCGAATAGTAAAGGAGAAACGAGGCCTTGAGCTTTCTAAAGTAAGGAATGAATAAAATCTATAATTAGTTAAAAGGCATTAAAAAGTCCGTGCAATTACTATAACGGTAAAAATTGCACTAGCCGAATTCTCAATGTTTAATATTGTAAGATACTAGTTTACTTTTAAAAAATGAAGTTTAACGAGTATTTTAAGAAAGAAATTGACACTTTTTATATAAACTATGCTTAGAGTCCTGGCGTTGATAACTCCTTTGTTCAGGACAGAAAAAAACTCTTTTAAGATAAAATTGATCAAGAATCAAAGACGAAGAGATCTCGTTTGATTGAATAAAGGCCCAGAAAAATTCAGATGTTTATAATAAAATTTCAAAATATATCAATGATTAAAAAATTAAGGGGTTTGAGAATAAAGTCCTGGAAAAGTTTGGTGGACAAAGAGCTGACTAGATACGGCTGATGACATTCTGAGTAAATGCGTGAATTTATGTTTTCGAAGCAAGAGTTTGACACAAGTTAAGTGCCAATGGTAATTATAAGAAAGCCGAAGCTATTTTAACCCAAAGTATAAATAAAAAGTGAAATGGAATAAATAAAGGCAGGCCGGTAATGATCTATTCGCAAAATGAACAGGCACAAGGCAGGGCAGCCAAAGTTCCTGATTAATGCTGGTTACCGGAAGAAAAGGGCTAAAGAACAAACTGATATATCTTGACTCTTTTTTCCAAAAGTGCAAAGACGCTTAAAAATAGTCTGGCAAGGTAAATCGCCTGTAAATTGGGACTGTGCTGAGAAAGTTTGTCCGAATGTATAATTTATTACATTCCCATTTATGGCATGGTAAGAAGTCTCCATAGGGGGGATGCTGATGAGACTCCGACGAGGTCGAACTCTAGTTCATCTTGGATGATAAGACGTTTCGGGGGCAAAGCAAATCGAAATTCAATAATATTATGAGGCCTCATACTAAGTTGACTGTTAAAAACCCTAAATATAAGCTATGTAATGACCTAATTTGACCCTAAGTAGCCGAAGATCATGTAGAATATTTACTACAATGTGATTCGTACAATCTCCTATTTATGCAGAAGCAAGTTGAGTCATCGGAAGCCAAAGTAATAAGTCAAACAGGTTTTAGAATGAGGAAAAACTAAAAAGAAAAGGGAGCATTGACCAACTCCGCTAGCGATGAATACGGGCAAGAAGACCCATCCGAGAAGCTGCAATAGGAGGCAAGCCTAAAAAAGATTCGAGAAAAAATATTAAGATAAGAAACCTTAAAGTGGCATGAAAGCAGATGGAGAAATAAAGATAATTGCAATTATGTTCATATATCAAAGCTTGGGTTCAAAATCCCAAAAAGAATTATGCAAAAAAAGGCATAAATAATTAAATACTTACATTAAGTTCAAATGCTCCGATTCCAATACCTCTAGCTGCCCCAGAACCAGCCAGGCCAATGAAGTGTTCACTGCCAATGTTGCTGGCGAATAAAGAGGCACCCACCTTAAGCCATAAAACAATAAACAAATGAAAAGTTTTGTTTTGGTGGAAGACAGTGTCATTTAATGTAAAAATGAGTCTACTATATGAGTGGCTACCGTAAAAAGATTGCGAAAACTTCGAAATGAAAGTAGTGATAAAAATAAAGCATATTTGATCAAATAGGGCAGAGAGAATAGCAGTTTACTCATTTTGAATCACAATATAACAATTTGCAAGAATACTCATTAATGTTGCTATTTTACTGCAACCATAGGGAAGGAGACTAGAGACTACCCAATAATTTAATGAAATTTGTTATGTAACATGAACTTAATGAGAGCGCCTGTATTTAAATAAGTATATCAAATGAGGGATAGGAAAAATTTGGCAAAAATAAGTCTTCTTACCGGCAGCCAAGTCATGAAGCGACCGGCCAGAAAGTAACCAGAAAGTGTTCCACGATTTGACTTGAAGAGCGACTAAGTAAAGGCAAGAAAGAAAAACACGTAAAAATAAAAGAATGAGACAGAAAAAAGACTAAATTACAATTAAAATTATACCCCTATTTCAATTATATGGTACATTCTTGTAATTGCTATCAAGAACAGGACAGCTTTTTTAGGGACATGATCAAAAGGTGTATGCTACGTTTTAGGGTATTTGTACATATGTTCAGTCAAGCAATAATAATTCTATCCACATTTTAAGAAAATAGCTGTTATATTATAAAAATTATAATTAAAATAAGTGGCACTGAGAATTTTTCCACAATGATACGAGTATTCCTCAGGATGCCTTTAAATTTTAATTAGACCCGTTTCTCCAAAGGTATTCGCATGCTGACCAGACTAGGTGGTACTTTTGACCTCGCCTGGGTCTCATCAGCACTCTCAGATCTGCTGGTAGTTTG